CAGTGGTCATAAAGTCCGATTTTGATGGTGAAGGCTTGCAGCACATTAAAGGCACAGTTCACAACGAAAATGGTTTCTGAGATTTCCCTATAGTATGAATTCGAGGCTCCCCTTCTACCATACCTGCCTTAATAGGGCAGGGCGAATAACGTCCTGGATAGGACAAAACAAGGAACAGAGATTGTATCGAGTGAATGCCACACCCCTAGTAGACTAGTTTCAACGGCTTTGTAGAAGCTGCACCATTCACGAGGGAACAATGTACAGAATTCAAACTGATTTGATGTAGGCAGCTTTTTGCACGATGGGAGGAAGTTAAATCTCGTCCGAACGCCCCTTACGTACCATTCCTGTCGTGGTGATCTCGTACAATCTCCACTTCCACTTCTTTTATAAAGCTTGAAGTAGGCGGATTTTCCCACTCACTTCGCCGCCGATGTACTCCTTTACATCAGCACTTCCACTTTACAACCTGAAAAGTCTACCTCAAAATTATCGTAAACTGTGCCTTTAACTACTTGAACAGAGAGCGTTCCATCCTTCTCATTCACCTTCCTAATTGAACTTTTGATAACTCACCGGTTCGCACTTACCGCTAAAAAGTTTCCTCATGGCTCAAGTAGGTAACTAGCAACAGAACCTAATGTCACACATGAAAGATCTGTAATGAACTTTGTGGTTCCAGATTCTCGGCGATTGTTACTACTGCGTTAGCGGTCTGCCGGATGTTAATCATCACCATGCAGCATGCACTGTGGAAATGGGACTCGACATGATTGAAACCATCAAGTACGTGGTCTTTCCTACAAAGTGGTAGGGAAAAACTCGAGTTTTTGATACCACCGCATGGTTTGGGTCAGCCCTTAATCCTTGTAAGGAAGAAATACTTGTTTCTCTTAGTTCATTTCTATATCGATAAATGGACAGTTGGGCGATTGATCCTGAAAACCTCCTCTGATTCAGGCTTGTGCGAGATATGACTCGAGTTAATGTGAATATGCGAGTCGGTATTCATTCGGGTCGTGCACATTGTGGTGTTCTGGGACTGAAAAAGTGGCAGTTCGACGTGTGGAGTGACGATGTCACTTTGGCAAATCACATGGAAAGTGGAGGGCTACCTGGGTGAGTTGTGAAAAGTTTTTTGAAGACATCATCGTTGACCGATCTTGTCGTCCTTTCTCGTTTCATTTTTCATACGAGAGTAGGTTATAGGGTTTTTGTAGGAAAGAGAGACCTCGAATCGTAGCGAACCTTCCCAGAACTACTTGTTTACAGAGCATAAACAACAACTTTGTGGCTTTGTTTGTCATATTTCGAGACTTTATTTGTTGTCTATCATCACGTAAGAATGTAATAGATCTGAAATTAAAGTTCCCGTGCAGTTCATCATTTTTAGTTTTTCCAACTAATACCGTACCCTGTCGAGAATCGTTCCAAAGTCCGTCGTTTTCCAGCCGTGTCCACATTACCCAAGCCACCCTGGATTCCTTAAATGGTGAATATGTCGTTGAAGAAGGTCACGGAGATGAACGATCAAAATATCTTGCTGAGCACCACGTTCATACCTATTTGGT